GGATGGTCTTGGCTCCTCCTCAGGGGCACCCATAAGGCATCAAGATGTTGACAGATTTCTGTCACTGGTGCTTACAGCAGGTTCCCAGCATGCCTTGCATTGAATTAAATTTCCAGAGTTAAATTTCCAGGCAAGAATTGAATTAAATTTCTAGAGTTAAATTTCCAGGCAAGACAATTATGTCGCCCACGGCATGCGGCCCACTTTCCAAGAGAGTGTGCCCCCTTCCATACATGAATAAGTAGACTAGGTGTATGTAAACTATTGTGATATGTATAGAAATAGAAAGTGTTGTTATTACTTAAAAGTTCTGATAACATAGAAATGCATGCTGTAAAAACTATAATTACATTCTCGGCTCTGCTGAAAAGAAGTGGTAATCACAGTCTGGAATAGTCTCCATGATTTTCTTGCCATGCATATACTAAACTGTGTGTGTATGTATATGTAGACTGCCACACGTTTTTGTTTAAAGGGAGATTTAAAAAAAAAAGGGATGCCTACAGTTTCACAGACGGCTTTATTTACTTACTATTTTCTCATGACGAGGTTTCTGAAGGGATTATACACAAATTAACTCTGTATAAATAGCAAATGTCTTTATAAGACTGATCGGGATTTCCTTAAATTAGTCCCTTATAGCCAGTCACCAGTGGCTCATGCCTGTCATCCTATCTACTTGGGAGGATGGGGAAGATTGCAGTTTAAGACCAGGTGGGGCAAATAGTTCTTGAGACTCCATTTCCAAAATAGCTAGAGAAAAATAGAGTGGAGGTGTGGCTCAAATGGTACAGCACTGCTCTGAGGCTCTGAGTTCAAACCTCATTCCCAACAACAACTAACTAGCTAATAAATAGATAGTCCCTTATGCAAGTATTTGTGCTCCATGTTCATGGCCTCCTCTTTCTATCTCCTCTGTCAGCAATAGCTCCCAGTTAGCAGCTTAACGGGGCTGCAATTCTGAAGAGTTCTATGTCCGAAGATACACTCCTTTCCTCTAAGAGTCCTCTCATCTGTGTCTATACAGATCAAGACAGTGATGTTGTCGTACAATAAAAAACAAAACTGTGCACTCCAGTACAAATAAACTATTTATTGTGTTCCTTCTCCAAGCCAATGCTGTCCTGAACTATACATGTCACTCCATTTACTCAGTAGTGTATTAGTGAAGTGAAGCTTCTATAACAAAATACCATAGACTGGATAAATAGTCCTATAGACAATAGAAGTTTATTACTCACAGTTCTGGGAAGGTTAACATCAAGATGTGGCAGACTGTCTGGTGAGGGCATGCCTCCTGGTCCATACACAACTGTCTTCTCACTGTGCCCCATATGGCAAAATCAGAGGAGCTTTCTGGGGTCTTTTATGGGCATTGATCCCATTCACAAGGGCTCCACCCCCATGACCCAATCCAAATACTCTCACATTGAGGATTAGGTTTCAACATACAAATTTTGGGGAGATCACAAACATTCAACCTATGTCATGTACAGTGCCTTTGAGGGAGGTAGGTACCATTTATCAAGTGGATGGGAAAAATAAACATGGGAAATTTAGTCACCTGTCCAGGGTCAACAGCTGGTCAGTGGAAGAGAAGAACAGAGTGGAACAGATTCCATCCCAAACAGAGACCACACGCAGTATAATGGCACTGCAGTTCATGAGGCCCATGTGTGGTCTCTGAATGCTCATGGTGATGGCCTGGAGCAGCTGTGGAGAATCAGGGAGAGAGAGGAGTGCAGGTATCAGAGCCAGGTTTGAACCCTTGACTTGGGCACTCATTGTGTTAATTAGCGCACCACAGAAATCCAACCTGGGGAGGACAGACCAGACGAGCAGAGCTCTACAGGCTGTGTGCTGCTTACCTAGAGAGCAACAGATGTCAGAAAGAGAGCTCCACAGAAAGCTTGTCGCAAATCACCCCATTGTGATTGCCTGACATGATGTTTTCTCACCCCTAGGACAGGGATGCTCCTCCAGCAGCACAGGCATGGAAACCTCAGTGACCAGGCCATTATCTCCCACCCTTTGCCCTGCTTACCTCCTATCCTTGGCAGGCACCTCCCTGCCTCCCTACCCACAGCTGTCATCTCAAGAGAGAAGAAACAAAAGCCTTAGTATCTCACTCAAACTACCTCACCCAAAGGATCGGGAGGCTAATTTACAACAATATCAAAGTTACAAGACAGTAAGGAGATTAGCTTTTTCCTTTAAATTTGGATCTTTGGGTATGATTTTCCACAGTTGACCTTTACAGATTTTCACAGCCATTTTGTAACTTGATGTCATAAAATTTTGACATGAATGGAGGAAGAATCTCAGGCCAGCATTTCCTCCAAGAAGGCCTTCCTGGACCAAGATGCACACAGAACCTTCTCTTCGCACTGCACTTTGCTAGTATGAGTCTTCCTACTTGAGCTTCTATAATATACTACCTTTCTGGCCTTGGCTCCAATTCATATGATTCCTAATTTTTTTCTTTAGCTTATATTCTTTTATTTAGCCTCACAAATCTCTCCTTAGAGTATTTATTTATTTAATTTCAATACTGGAGATTGAACCCAGGACCCTAGGCAAGTGCTCTACCACTTGAGCCACACCCCCAGTCCATTTGCTTGTATTTTTTGAGATAGAGTCTCCTGGACCCACCTCGAACTGATGATCTTCCTACCTCTGCCTCCCAAATAACTGGGATTACAGGCATGACCCACCATGTCGGACATTTCATAGCATTTTTGGTTATAAATTTATACATATGTATGTAGTTACTTGATTCATGGACGTCTTCCTTGCTAGAAAGCAGACTCAATGAGGGTAGTAGTCATTGTTGTTTCTGTCTATCTTTTAACCCTAGCTCCTCAGACATGCCAAAATAATAAAGATTTGTCCAAGCATCATCCTAACCTCTGTTTTATTTAACGTTGTAAGTACTGGATGCTTTCTACATGCAAGATGTGATCTTAGCATCTGATGTGGAGCATCTCATTACTCTATGTAGCAACTCCATGCAGTAAACACTATTCTTCTCATTTCACAGATGAAGGACAGCATCATAGAGGGCAGAAGTGCTCAGCCCCAGATATACAGAAGGTCAGCAGAGCTGGTGAGTAACAGAGATAAGATTTGAACCTGGTAATCTGGCTTCTGAATTCAAGCTCTTAACTCCTCTGTTATTTCACCCCATTTAATACTCAATCACTGAATTGTGCTTTTCTGGTTAAAGTAATTCTCTGAAAGATTTCATACCTGGAAACCATCTCAGAGATATCCAACTCTCTGTTTTGTAATTTAAATCCTAAAGCCAAAACGGTGAAATGACCTGCCCAAGGTTGGACTCCTAAATTGGTGGTCAAGTTTACTATCATCATAGTGCATAGTTTTGGCTTTATTTTGCATTATGTTGGGATGCTGCCTCTGAGGAATGAGGGAAGTTGAACTGGCAAGCTCCAACTCTATTTGAGATAAAATTGTAGTGATCTTTGCCAGTATTTCATAGACACAGAGAAAGCTGGAGCTGGAATAAACCTTGGTTTATTAGTCTATCCTGCATTCATCCAAATGCAGTGTCCTTTCTACAACATTCCTTTGTGGCTTCTGAGTGAGCATTTCCAGAGAAGCAGCTTGCTTTGTCACCAGGTCCAAGGAGATCTGACTGTTCCTTCCATTCACTGCCATACCCAGTGGCCACCTAGTTCTGACCATCCATCACTGCACCACAACAACAGCATAACAAACTTCTGCCTCAATCTTTCTGACCATCCTAGAGACAAAATTGTCTTCCTGACATCATCGACCAACATATGTGGAGCTTGAAAAACACTGACTCACTGATTGACTCACTATTCTCTGCTCTGTATAACTCCCTTCCATTTTCTTTGCCATAGTTAAGCAGATCGCTTAATTATTTAAGACTTTCACAATTCTGCCTAAGTCTTAAGTCTTTAATCTTGTTCTCCATGCCACACCTCACTTTCTCCTGATCTTAGCTATGTAAATTTCATTGACTTGCACTCCTCATTCCCACTCATTTCCTAGGTATTCGCTGATAGCAGTAAATATCTTTGGTGTCTCTTATTTCTAACTTTTATGAAACCAAATAAGTTTACCTTGTTTGTCTAGACTCCTCATTAAAGGGTGAGTTTCATTTGGAACAACTTTGCATAATTTCTCTTGGCACCTGGACTATGCTTTCTTCATCTTCTACTTACTTGGGGAAGGCTTCTGTCTGCACTATTCCCTGAAGTTCACCAGGGTCACGTGTCCAAAACATTTCCTTATTGTCTGTCTTAGGTTCTCATTAATAGAATCTCATTAGAATTTTCCTGGAGACACATGCACTTTAATTAGATTTTGAAATCATCCATAGAAGCCTTGCCATAACCAAATTATTTTGCTAGGTGTTGGTATGGATGCAGAGATGGATATAAAAAAAGCAAAGTACAGTGTGCATGCTGTAGTGAAGAAAATAAAATCTCTTCTTTTGAGGCATCACATTATTTAGAGACATTTCCCCAAAATTAGCTACCTGCTTAACTTGGGATTCCCAAAGGCAGACCGACAGAAAGATAGATACCATATCTATTTATCGTCTTTCCATTCATCCACCCATCCATCAATCCATCCATCCATCCATCCATCCATCCATCCTTTCATCCATCCATCCTCCCTCCCTCCCACAGGGCAGAGGTACCGGATGCAGAAAAACAACAGCTGAGTTTCTCCAACTCCTGGTCCAGACATAACAGTGACGACAGTAAGGACGCCCCTAAGCATGCTTACATATTCCTTTTCCCGGGTTAGATTGCAGGGTAGAGGCCGACTCCAAGTCCTGGGCTCCACGTGCTTCAGCCAGAGAACAGACACGCCTCTTCCCGCCCTGCCCCACCTCCTTCCCCTAGTGGCCCCGCCCACACCGCCCTGTGGTCCGAACGCGAGTCGCGCGCCGTTGACGTCACCAGCACGCGCCTGGGCTGCTGCCATTCGCCAGGTGTGCGCGCCGGGTGCTTCCAGCTTCTGCCTGCGCTGGCAGCCTAGCAGCCACAGCTAATCTGATCCGAAGGCCAGATCTCCACAGGGTGGCAGACATGTCGATGCTGGCGGAGCGTGAGTGTCTGACGCGGAGCCCAGCTGGGCGTGAAGGGGACATGCCGGGTAACGCGGGTCTCCAGCGCTCAGTGGGGCTCCGCTGGTGCCTCCGAGGCCGGGGGTTCCTGGCCGTAAAAATGTCCCAGGCCAGTCTTCCCTGAAAGTTAGCCGCCGGTCTGCTAGTGAGAGAATCCCACTGCCCCTAGAGACTCTTAACCCTACACTCAGACCCGGGACGCGCGCGGGGTTTCGACAGGGAGGCAGGACACAGTTCCTGGGACTCCAGTGCCGGCGGTCGTGGAGACCCGACTGGTGCCTTCACTTCCCCGGGCCTCGGTTTCCTCAGGTTAAAAAGAGGAGATGGGCCAGGCAATGAGATCCAACTCTCGAGGATGTAGCGGACCCTGGAAGAGAAAAGTAGAGGGTTAGAAGTATCAAACACAGGAAGTTAGCCCTGGGAGGGAGTGCAGGCTGACGAGTGAGTCCAAGCGAAGCTGGTGGGTTCGACATCCCAATGCTGGTTTGCCATTGACATTTACCATCACTATTAATCCCCCCTTCCTGGGGAGCTGTTTTACTTCTGAATGGGACCTGTAGCTAAGTCTGCTTGCCACCAGATGGCGGTCGGCACTTAACTTTTTGGAAGTTATGTAGTGAGCCAGAAACAGTTGATTTAACTGACCAGAGGCAGCTTACACAGGGATTTTGCAAACTAAATGCTGTCAGCATCCTACTATGTAAGAAATCATCAAAGGTCTAGAAGCACAAAACGAAATGGGCCACGCACCACCCTTATTTCATAAGGGCAGAAATTGAGGTTCAGAAGAAAATACTTTGCTTCAAGTCATTGAGCAACAAAGTGGCAACATTGATGCAGTTGTGTCTGTATCTTTACATTTTTGCAACTAAGCAGCTTTCTGTTGTTTTTAAACAATAACTTGAAAGGAACGTGTTTTAGATGGTGGTCCTGTTGATCTATTGATCTGTGAAAATGAGTAGTCAAGATTAGAACCTACATTCCTAAAATATCTTCTAGTTCTCATAGTCTTTAATGAATGCTTAATTCAACATGCACTTGTGGAGGTTGGCCCTGGCTCTGCTATTTGTTTATGCCTGTTTCCCTGACTAGATTTAGGGTGTCTGTTAAAAATTTCTCATCTTCACTAAGTTGGCTTAAAAATCAATGAGATGATTAGGTGAAAACAATGGAAGTGTTTGAAGTGGCGTACACTTGTGCAGTGTTCTTTGTAAAGACCAGAATTCAAATTGCATTATTTCAATTATCTTGCCCTTTATTACTCTACATTTTCTAACTTTTGTTAAAAATGTTTGTAACATTTTTATGTTGCCTTGTCATAATTTGCTGAATTAATGTTTATGGTATCCCCATCATAAGATATTTAGGATTGGTGTTCTCATCTTAGAGATGAGAAAGTAGAAGCATAGAAAATTTTCAGTCCCATGCTTTCACTACCTAGCAATTATTCTTCTCTGATAAAAACAAACAAACTTGGGATCGTTCTGTAGGTTCAGTTTTGTAGCCTACTTCCCCCTCCCCCTTTGTTAACCATAGATGTGTGAACATTTTCACTCCATTAAGCATGCTGTTTCCTTTATTTTGCCTTGTGGACCATGTTTGGTTCTTTTATCCTCAGCATAGGCACTTGTTCTAATTTTTAAATTTACTGTTGGTTAGCCTGTATTTCTCTAGTTATCAGATGCCATCCTATTGGGTCTTTCCTTTATAAGACAAGAAATACAGCTTACACAAACTTCCTCTGATGTGGGATAAGAATTTTATTTACCACCCTTACTGCTTGGTCTTTGTGTAATTCACAGTTTTATTTTTTACTTTTGGGGTTTTCTTTTTTTGAGGCAGGGCCTTACTGTATAGCTCAAGCTAGCCTGGAACTCATGATTCTCCTACTTCAGCTTCCCAAGTGCTGGGATTGCAAATGTGCATTACCATACCTGGCTTAAATTAGTAGTTTTAGACCCAGGTTATTTATCAGGATACTACTTTTTTTCATAGATGCTTTAGTTTTCAAGACCAGTTTTTGACATTTGTAGTCATTACATTTTATAATTAAACCACAATGCTATAGTTAATGGATTTTAATGCTCATTGCATTAAAATTTTTATGTTATAATTTCCTCAATCTTGATATGCCTTGAGTAATTTTTTAATAAGTATACATGGTTGGTATATATGAGCTCCTGAATATCTAAAAAAGTCTCTGGAAAAACAGAAAAGACAGAACTCCTGTTCCTGACTTTGGGTACTGAACATACCAGTTAGAGTAAGTAGAGTACTAGCATAAGCCATATGGCCTCAGGTATTGGAGTGATTGAAAGATGGAGTCCTTTGCAGCTGTTCTGTGGAGAAGTGTTTATTGGGATCACCCCAGGGTTATCCCAGTGGAGCCATTTACAGTCATCTCTCCAAAGAGGAGGAGCCCCTGCTACAGGATGGTTGAGCACACCATCCCAATAGTCACTCAGCAGATACAGGCCACTCTGCACTGTTCATTACACTGCTGTTCCAGGCTCTGTCAGGGGTCCTCAAGACTACCCCTAGATTCAGTGATTTGCTGGGATTTGGGCACAGGAGTCAAGATTTAGTACAACTAAAGGATGCTGAGCCAAGTAAAAAGACCCAGACACAAGCTTCAGAGCCCTCTCCTGGTGGGGTCACACATGGTATGTATGATTCCTTCAACAAGGGAGACTCAGAAGGAAAGCAGGTGTTCAGCATAAACCACATCATTTATATAAACAGCTAAGACCAGTGAGCCACTCTTACTGGTTCTGAGAATGGTGGGAACCCTGCTCTCCAAAAGTTCTCAGCCAGAGGCCAGTCTTGTCAGCGAGTCTTTCAAGGGTAGCAGTTGGGCTTGCTGTTAACTCTTTTCTGCATTAGCAAGGCTGACATCTGAACACAGAAAAGATGGTGGGGGCCATAAGAAAATGTGTTAGCTTTCCATTGCTGTGACAAAATGCCTGAGATAAATAACTTAAAGGCTTACAGTTTCAGTCCATGGTAGGTTGACTCCATTGCTTTTGGGCCCGTGGCAAGGCAGAACATTATGACCTGGAACATGGGATGGAGCAAAGCTGCATACCTCATGGCAGCTGGGAAGCAAAGAAGGAGAGAGGAAACGGTTGAGGTCCAATATCTCCTTTAAGAGAAAGCCCCCCAGTGACTTATCTTCTTCTCATTAGGCTCCACCTCATAAAGGTTCCACTACCTCCCAACAGTTCTGTTAGCTAGGAACCACACCTTCAATGCATGAGCTTTGAAGGGGACATTTAATATCTAAGCCATAACAACAGAAAAAAATGTGATTAAGTCAGAGAAGACCAGAGACAGTCTTCTTGCCAGAATTTCCCAAACCTGGAAACTTGTACAACATGAGAGCAAGGAGATGCTGCAGAGAAGTAGGGTTCTGATCATAAATGTGGGGAATCAGGCATACCTGTTCTGTCCTCCCCACGTTTGCATGTTATAGGCTCTGGGAAGTTCCTTGCTGTTAAATTTAGTTTAACCCAGAGTTTCTCTTTTATTTTCATTGGCACCCCATCCCCTTAACATCCTTAGTTGAGGAAGTCAGCTCTAGCCCCTTTGGTCAAGGATACCTGCCTTTCCTGCAGAAGAAAAATTGACTTCTGATAGCCAGTCCCAGTGTAGCATGGCAGTCCTTTGTGTGTAAAGAGGTGATATTGTTATGGGCAAATGGTGTTTCCAGAAGATTTTGGTCCTTGTGTTCTGGGCGAACACGTGGATGAGGTGAGGTAGAATAGCTTTATTGAGGGAAGGGGAGTCACTGGTTCTGCCAGGTGAGAGAAGAGCAGAAGAAAGGCTGGGGTCTCTTGGAAGGTCGTTTTTATATCACCTTGAAATTGGAGGTGGAGAGAGAATACATCATCATCACCTGTGGGCTGGGGGAGGCGCTCTTGAGTCAAGAGGGGAGCAGTCCCAGACTATCCCTAACCTAACCTGCCTCAACATGAATGGGATGCATGTCTTATTGTAGTGGATGGGCTCATCTTAAAACGCTCCATACAAGCTCAGTGAAAGACCCCTGCAGGCACTGTGTAGAGCCGTGAATCTGACTTATCAGTGACTAGATTCTGTACAGAATACTGGTTAACCAGGCTTATCTCTGCCTCTGCTGTATTGTTCATCAGCAGAGACATTGTTATGTTGAGTATTTACCAAGTTAAGTAAGGTGATTATTTAGCCAGATAAAACAATTTTTAGATCACCTCCCCCCCTCCCCATAGAACACTGTAAATTTGAATCCACCTTGTTTTGCTTTGTAGTGGTCCTTTTCTGCCTGCATGCTTGTAAAGGATTTCCTATTTTTGCTAGCGTATGTATAGGTAAGGGTCCCTATTGATTTTGCATGCAGCACAATGAGCTCTTTCACTGGCGTTGTGTTATTTGTTAAATTGGGTTATGAGAGCTGAAGTCCGAGGCTGCTATTGATTGATAGGTGATGTCTTAGAATGATTCAGTAGGTGAATAATGACACACAACCTCCAAAGTCCTCACTTGGCCACAGTTGGCGTTAGGGTCTCATATTCTGTAAATCTTTGGGGTTCTTTGTGATAATTTTTCCTAAAACTACAGTGATAAGCTTGAGTTCCTAATGTTAGTTATTTATATGCATTTCCAAAAATACTGTTTTGTTTTGAGACAGTCTTGTTATGTAACCCAGACCAAGCTCAAACTCACTGCCAGCTCAGGCTGGTCTTGAACTCATGATCCTCTTGTCTCTGTCTACTAACTACTGAGATTACAAGTGTGTGCCACCATTCCTGGCTTCAAAAAATACTTTAATGAGACTCAAAGTAGTTTCTTTCTTCCTTTTTTTCTTTCCTCCTTCCTTCCGTTCCTTTTCCCTTTCCTCCTGTCCCTTCTTTCTTTTGCATTCATTCACATATATATTGAGCTTCTGCTATGGCCAAAGTTTTTTTTTTTTTTCAGTGAAACAAAAGACAGAATAAGGAATGAATATGGTCTATAAGGAGTAATAGGAAACATACAAGTTGGATATAAATAGCCATAACACAGTAGGATGTCAATTAACTGTCAAAATAGAAATAGTTTATTCTGGAAGTTCAGTGGATAAATTGCACATTTAGGACGTTTCACTGAGAAGGGAGGATGTCATTATTATCTGTAGATTATGAGTGTGAAGGTACAGTTGACGTTCCCCAAGATCATAATGACTGTCACATATCATGGATTAAGAATATAAGCTTTGAAGTCAGGAGACTTTGGTATAAAGGGTCTGGATTTGGTGACATTAGACAGATTTCTTTCTCTAAGTTTCAGATTTTCTCATCGGAAAAGTATCTCCCTTCATTGGACTGTTGTGAAAATTGAATCTATTATATGTATAGCATTTGGCACATAACATGTGGCAATGAGAGCAACGATTGTGCCTGCTACTACTGATCGTGGTGGCAGTGCTGGTGTTGACAGATGCTTTTAGTTGCTGCTGATGGCAGAATGTGAAAGGCCCAACTGATAGTATGTCAACTATTTATTTTCCTTTTTCATATTTAAAGGGAACATTTTAATTTTATAGTCAATTTATATTTTAAGAGTATATAATTATTGGGGAAACCAGGAGATCAGATCTGTTAGCAGTCCACTGTATGTTGACTATATCATATTGTACGCGTGTGTGTGCATGCTTGTGTGTGTGTGTGTGTGTGTGTGTGTGTGTGTGTTCTCTCCCAGGCTTGAAAGGTAAATATCTCATGAGATACTTTTTCATTTATAGGTCGGCGGAAGCAGAAATGGGCTGTGGATCCAAGAAACACTGCATGGAGTAATGATGATTCCAAGTTTGGCCAGAGGATGCTAGAGAAGATGGGGTGGTCTAAAGGAAAGGTATTTTGAAGAAAACCCAAAAACCTGGAGCCATGCTATGAGATTATGAATCAGGAGAGACATCCTTCTGTAGAGTCTGGGAGAAATTGATGTTTGGATCAATAAGTGATTTTGGAGAAATAAATTGTAGTGACTAGATGATGATAAAATTAGAATAGAACATAATGCCAGCTCTGTTGGTTATTATAACTACTGTGATTAGTCTTTCTCAAACATCACCTTGGAATCAGTCACACATGGAGTCACACTTCGCCATCAGAGTTTTAGTTGCTGAGAGTCATAGGTGACTCTCTGTGTGACCAGTCTGCCCGTGTTTTCCTTTCCCTCACATTCCACTTCTCCCAGCTCTTACAGGGCTTCTGCTGTACCTGCACTTACTGGCTCTGGCCAAGGTCTGTAGTCCTCTTGTCAAATCCAGTGGACCCTGTTTTCTCATATTACTGCCCCTTAGCAAAATTGCTGTAATTGACTATTCATTCCTTAAAAATACTTGTGTCTTGGCTTCCAGAATGTTCCTTTTCTCCTCTGATCTCACCAGCCATTCCTGAAGTCATTGCTGTCTCTTTGTTTTTTATACTTTTGAGCTTTGGTGTTTCAGGGTCTAGCCCCAAACCTATTCTGTACTGTGCTCAGGTGATTTCACTCATTGCCATGCTAGTCTTTGAGTTATGTGAAGTCTGAGAACTATCACTTTCCTATTTCTAGGCCAGTTGTCTTCTTTGAGCTCCAAATTTGTAAATTCATTGCCTTCTGAACTTTTCTAGTTCAGTGAGCATCTCAAGGGTACTATTTTTATTGTCAAGCTCTTGAATACCCCACAGCTTTTCCTTTCCAGGTGTTCCTGATGTTTGAAAATGTTACCGTCTGCCCATGTAGAAAAAAGTTGGTGTCATGCTTGGTTCCTCAGCCTCTTTCAGTTTCCACAAAATCCTCTCTATCTAGACTACCACCCTGGTCTAGCCACCTTCATTACCTGTCCTGTTGCCCTCAGTACCCTCTCCATGCTTCCCTGCCTCCCTTCTTCTTCTGGTCCATTTTGACATACAACAGCTGAAATGACCTTTCAAAATATGGAACTTAGATCATATTATTCCTTTGCTTAAGATTCCAGTGTTTCCAACCGTTTTTGAAGTCAAATCTAAATTTCTACTGTAACTTCCAAGGCCCTGTGAAATCTAGCCCCTTCCTGTCATCTTATCCTCTCTACATTCACTCAGTTAAAGCCACCCTGAATTCACTTTTCAGGTCCTCCTGTACCTCAAGTCCCTTCCCACCTTTGATTTTGCACTTGCTAGTCTCCTCGCCTGGAACTGTACAAGTGAATGTTAACTGAGGCAGCAGACCAGGGGTACCCCTCTTGCTCCTTTCGTGGTGTCCTGTTCTATTGCTAAGTAATGGACACAGCCGTATACTTGGAGAACCACCTATGGGGTTCGTTAGTTTTTTGTAGTGGCACTTTGCTTCTGAGCTTCAGGAAGAGATGTGATCCTTTTAGTGTCTACCTGGGCCTTGCATTTGTCTTGGGTTGAGTAATTAGGGTGCTATAGACACCCTCTTCTAAGAGTCCACTGGACTCTGTTCTCTTTGAGGGCAAGGAGAGCGCCTCACCCTGGATGTTCAGTAACTGATTAAACAGTTGGTGAAGAATATACCTGATAAAAGTGCTAATTCTCTTTATTTTTAATCTCCACAGGGCTTGGGGGCTCAGGAGCAAGGAGCCATAGACCATATTAAAGTTCAAGTTAAAAATAACCACCTGGGACTTGGGGCTACGAACAATAATGAAGTGAGCAACAGTGTGCCATCTGTTTTCTTGCCTAATTGACTTCAGTTTTATAAATATAAAAATTCTAATCCAGCCAATTAGACTGAACAGTTTTGAACTTTTCAAGTGTGTAGTGTCAGTTTTGGATAAAGCGCCTCTGGCTGAGCTGGCTCTTCATCCAATAGCATCCCACCCATCACCTTGCCTGTGGTCCTCTGGGATCCTCCACTTGCTTGTGCTTAAGAAATTCAATGAATTTTATTGCTTAACTTTGCTAACAGTCCTCTTTTTACAGAAATGTTCGTTTCAGGATAGACAGAGAGGATTTTTGTCTTTGCCTGTGTACTAATGTTATTTTGCACTATTAAAAGCTGGTAACATTTGGTTTAGAAGTATTGCAAAAAGTAGGATTCTTTTCCCATTGTCCGTTTCTGACTGTTGTTGTGCAGTAGTTGAATTTATTCACATTTTGTCTTGAACACTGCCCTTATACTTAAAAAATAAAAAATAAAAAAAGGAACCAAAAAGTCTAAGGGCTTTAGGATTATAGTTTTGTGCCTATAACCCTAGCCTCTTGGGAAAATTAGCAAGAGACCGTCTCAACCAGAAAGCTTAGGGTGGTGACTCATGCTATGTGTGCCAAGGCACTGGGTAGGAGGATCATGGTCTGAGGCTCCAGGCAAAAACCTTGAGACCCTGTCCCCAAAAAAATCCAAAAAGGAGTGGGAGTGTGTCTTAAGTGGTAGAGCACCTGCCTTGTAAGTGCAAGGCCCTGAGCTTTTCATTTTCATACCATTATTTCCTTTACAAAGTATATAAGATGAAAGCTTTTTTCCTAATTTTTTCAATCAACAGAATCTGGTAGAAAATTGAGAGAATTATTTTATATAAAGTGAATTACTTTAATTAGTTCAGTAGCTTTGAGTGGTAGACTTGAACAACTAAGGTTTTCTAGACTAATAAGCTAAAATTTTCAGCTACTAAGGAGATTATATAAAGTGGTTTTGAATGTAGTTTTGAGAAACAGATAACACTATGTACTTATTTTCTTAGGAGAAGCATTACCCAGGAAACCTATTCAATATTCCTAAGCATTCTTAAAAAGAAATGCTTAAGAAAAGGTATGTGAGAGAATTCCTGCTCTGAACCCTGCTTCAGTGGTTTATATTGTTTGGAAGATCTTCATTCTCTCATTAACTCTAAGACCTTACAAATGGGTACTCATTGATTCAGGTAACTTAGGAGTCTTTCCTTCCTCCAGCCCCATAGTTTTGTAGAATTGAGGTTGATGCAAATAGTTGGAATTAGACAAAATATTTTAAGTTCTCCGAGCAAAGAGCTGTGTTCCTTACTGCTCTTGTCCTTTGAACTACATAATTTCTCCAACTGAGGAAAGAAAAAGTAATTTTGTTTTGCTTTATTTTAATATTTAGCACACAGGTTGCCTGTGCTGTGCTGGAAACACAAACATGGGACTTTACAGATGTTAGGCAAACACTCTACCACCTGAGCCATACCTCCAGTCCTGAGCTGTACCCTTAAATGCCCCTTTTAATAACTGATCTGGATACATCACATGTAATGTGTATGTTATTCTTGAATCCATTTAAATTTACCAGTGATAGTGTAATGAGGCTTTAAATTTCGTATTAACTGTCAGATTCCTCAGTTGTAAAATACACCTACTTCAGTCAGTGTATGTAAGCTCCGGGCTTGCCTCTCACTCACTTTTTGCTGTTCTTAGGATAACTGGATTGCTCATCAGGATGATTTTAACCAGCTTCTGGCTGAGCTGAACACTTGCCATGGGCCAGAGACAGCAGGTAGGGAAACATTAGCTTTGGATATCATCTCTCAATGTAAAATATTTTTATCAACTTTCCAGTATAAAGCATTATATAGCTGAGAGCCAGTTGATTGAAGCAATTACAAATATTCACTTCTATTTACATTTTAATGGTGCTTTCATTGAATGAAACTTTAGTTATCAGCAAGCACTTTTTCCCCCACTCAGAATAACAATGACAAGATAAATCCATTTGGATTTTACCTCAAACAGTGGAGTCATCTTTACAGGGATGCTTGAATATGGCTGAAAAGATCTTTTTGAAATACAAACAAGAAATACCAAATGGGACCATTTCCAGCAGCCAGCAGAGGCTCAATAGAAAGGCCTTTTTCTATATTGATTCTTCCTACTGAAGTTTGTTTCACCTTTTAATTCATGTAAGAGGTTCAGGTTGCTCAGGTATAGTGAGATTTCTCTACCTTGAACTCCTAGACTCATGCCAGTCTTGTGCCTCAGCCTCTCATGAAGCTTAGGAACACAAGTCTATAACAGGCATTTTAAAACAGTTGATGCAAGTAGGCAGTACATATGTGACAGGGCACACTGCCACACTAGTCATCAGGAAAATGCAAATAAAACCACAGAATGCTACCACCAGAATTAGGAAGACTGACAACATCAAATTCTGAAAATGTGGAATGGTGGGATTCTTAAGTGTATGATCATTTTGAATCGGTTCAGATTTATTTATAAAAGTTGGAGATAGGCATAACCTATGAGCAGCCTTTCTACTCCTTTTGAGCAGATCTCTGGGCATATGTGTTCTGCATAAGAATGCTAATAACATTCTTTGCAGTATTCTCTAAACTGGCATTCACCCAGATGCCCATCAGTAGAGTGGATGAGTACACTGCCATCTTTGTAAATGCAAAGAAATGCAGCATAGTTACAGGAAAGAGTATAGAACGAGTAGCAAACATTTTCTGTGGAGGGTCAGACAAAACCATTTTGCAGACCACAGGGTCTGTCAAAACTGCTCAATTCGGTCATTGGGGGAGTGAAAACCACAACAGAGAGGATGTAAACAAATGGACATGACTCTGTTCCCATAAAACTTTACAAAAGCAAGTGGTGAGCTGGAATTGGCCTACAAGCTATAGTTTGTTCACTGGTGTAGAAATTAATGTTAGTTGAAAGAAAATGGACACAAAGATATATCTCCCATGGTTCTACTTATGTAAACTGCAAGTAGCAGGCAAGACTGATGGTAAGTTGCTATACTTAGGCTTTGAAATTATCTTAACAAACAAGGAGTGAGGACTCCCCTGTGAAGGTCATGATGGTGATGCCTCAGGATCGGGGGGCCTGGGATTGAGAAGGCTCCTGAGGAACTTCTGGGATGATAATAATGTCCTATTTCTTGACCTGGCCACCAGTTACAGATATCTATGAACCTCATGCCTTATGCACTCTCTGTGGCTTTTATTCACCCCCTACCTTAAAAAAGAAACAGTTAAAACAAAAATGACAAGTGGGAGGTGGGGAAGTTTGTCACAAAAAATGGCAAAATGGTTATCCTGAGATGGTGCTTCTCAACTGGGGACAGTTTTGCCACCCAAAGGACATTTGCCAGTGTCTGGGGACATTTGTTGTTATCATGACTGGGAATATATTACTGGCATGTAGTAATGCCAGAGATGTGACTAAACATCCTACTGCATAAGACAGCCATGCTTCCCAATAGTGCAAAGGTCAAAACCCCTGCCCTACGAGGAAGAAGGAGAATACAATGAGAACAGGCACAAGATACTTCTAGATGGTGGCAGTGCTTATTTTCTAATCCTGGGGGTGGCTACAAAGTGGTTTGCTTTATAATTCTTTAACTGTACAGATTTTAAACAGAGTATGTATTATGGTATATGTTATTTTTTAAAAAGCCCTAAAAATTGCATGGATCTCTTTCTAGTAGACTTAAAGTTTGACATGTAATTAATGTTATATTAAGGCTGTAAAGAAGGCTGACTAAAGAGTAACAGAACAATTTGAATATCAGGGATTAACTTCTACCTTAATGAATTATCTGGTGCCATGTTAGTGGCAATCACTTTTCCTAAGCAGGTTTAGTGTTCAGAGTCAAGGTGCTTCTGCTACCACCATAGTGGTAGAAGAGGAAACTTTTGAACCTCGGATCCTTTCCTGAGGCTCCCACACACTCATTTTATTTATTTATTTGTTCTAGTAGTACTGGGATTTAACCAGGCTTTGTGTCTACAGGCAGGCACTCTGTCTCCTCAGCCCCACCCCCAGCTCCCCATGTCCCCATTCTTAAGTTGGGAAAGTTGTTTTCCGTGTGGTTTGTCATCATCACTTTCTCACCTAGTGCTTGGTGCCGAGTTAGAGGATACTTCGCAGTTTTTCAGGTCACAGGAATATGAAGACGTGTTCTGCTCCACGAGCCCATAAAGAACTGAGATAAGAGGTTTTGTTCTGTGGATAGAAAAGAGAAATGTGCTTTTGAGACTTGACTGTGGTAGCTGGAAAGTTCCTTTTCTCTAGTGTGACATGCTGTATCATGATCACTGTTTTCTAGGAAGAGAGCCTTTGCAGTAGTTTTGGGAACCCTAGCTCAGGACAGGACCTCCTTGTCCAGCACTGATGGCAGGCTGAGCAGGGTCACTGCAGTGGTTCCAGGAAGTGTCAGCAGTGGGCTCTTCTCAGGGACCCAGCAGACCCTTTGTTCTTTCTCAGAAAGGCAGTGAGTGCCTGGCAGCTTTCATGAGGTGCTGCCTTGTGCTCACACATCCTCCTTCATGTTTAATCTGTGCAGAATGAGTATTCCCTTTCTGCTTAAATTACGGGGGTATTTTAAATAAGGCGAAAGCCTCAGTTACTGACCTGTAGATAAACTCCACCTCCAAACCGCTAGAGGGAGCCAGTAGCTCTGCAGTAGTGACCATGCAGAGGCACTTCCTCTCCAGCCTCACTGCTACTCCAGGACTGGAAAAGCCCTCACAAGATGCCTTTTAGAGACCAGAGAACTAATTGATTATTTTATTGCCATGTCATCTTCTGTAAATACACTATCTTTAGACAAGTGAATTTTTGGTTACAGTCATGCCATACTTGCATTAAAGCTGAAAGGTAGATCACACAATAACCTAGTAACATGTTTTTCTGCTGTAAAACCACTTAATAATTCACACCATTTCCCTTTTAACTAAACAGACATTTTGTGCTGTCTCTTTGGAGAGTCTTGCAATGATTCTAGGAAAAAAACCCACCTTTTTCCTTGTGGGAAAAATCAGTATATGCTTTAAAATTTCACTTTTAAAAATTATTCTATCTCAGAGCCTATCACACTCAAGTTAGCATTTTGGTAAACTTATGTCATAGTTTAGCTTACTTTTTTTTTTTTTGGCAGTACTGGGGCTTGAACTCAGGGCCTCAAGTTTGCTACTTGAGCCATTCTGCCAGCCCTGGACTTACAATTTAGGAAATGCTTGTTAGCTCTTATCTGATATTTTATCACTGTGATTTTAAATACTTTGGGAAGTAAAGTGGGATGCTGCAGACCTGTTACATGCAAAGGGATAGTTCAGAGCCAGCAGCTTCAATTTTTTTTTTCTCACATCACTTAAAAAAATTTTGAAGAAAGTGTGTCCTATCATACATTTTTAGTTTGACGCCCAGGATCTTTTTTAAATTATAGGTACATAGTTGCAAAGAATATAATTTCTGGCCTTTTAGGGAAATACTGGTATTTTAAAATAAAACCATTACATCACTCTTGAATGAATATTGGCATTTAAAAATGAAAACGTTGGGTCACTCCTAAATGTCTGCAGTGGCTGCTAAATGCCACAGCAGTGAGGACATACTTCTTCAGTCTTCCAAAGCACTGTGAATTTCATAGTTCCTTTTTCTCTCTGAAATAGTATTTCTATCTCCTATACCCCATAGTAGTTTATGTTAATATATTTTTATTATTGATTTTTCATTTTTGTCTTTTGAGACAGAGTCTTACTGTGTAGCCCATGTGGCCTCCAAATGTCTGAGCCTCCTACCTCAGCTTCCAGAGTGCTGAGTTTAGAGGTGTGTGCCATCATGCCTGGCCTTAAACTCTTTTTAATTGGTGACCACATGCAAATTTCTTTGCCACGAGACAAATATACATAAAAAATTTTTTTCTAGTGATCCCAACACTTACAAAATTTCTTTTGGATTAAGTTGCCATTAGTGGATTGTAATTTGTACAACCAGCAAATATAAATTTTGATAACTACTTATTAAAGAAAACAGTAAAATCTGTGACAGTGTGTCCCTTAATGAGATAAGTTGGTAGTGGTGGGTTGGAGAACTGGTTTAGCTGCTTCAGTTATAACACACACGCCCCTGACCCCAGTATTTGTCTTAATCCTCATTGATCCTGACATGAGGAGAATCGTGCCTCTCTTGTAAAGAGGAAGGAGGGTACGTGGGAGAGGAGAGGAGAGGACAGCCAGGTGGGTGCATCCCTAAGGTTTAGAGCAGTTGTAGAGAGAGTACATGTGGACACTCAGGGAGAAATCGGTCCCCTAGGCTCCACCAAGGCTCAGGTATTCTTACACAGGGACTCGGTGTGACTTCCACAGGGCCTTGAGGTGACTGTTACTCAAGTGTGAAAGCAGCTGTGTTAGAGAGACAGTGTGGTGGTTCAGGGTGTGCACTCAGCAGTGTCTGCTTTACTCAGTGTCCTGTGTGAGTTTAATGATCACAGCAGCTCCCTTATGGGCTGATAGAATGAATGGGTAGAGAGGTCTTAGTCCAGCATCATGCTGTCTAAGCCCTCACTGACAGTAGCTACTGCTAACTTCCTAGATGACTTATGTTTGAACCAGCAATATTGAAAATGTTTTGTGCCATATGAAGTGTTTGGCCACAAAAAGAGGAGAAATTTTCCCAGTGGGACTGAAAAATAATCCTGAAGTGTGCCTGGGAAGTAGCTGCAGAAGCGAATGCTTTAGCTCATCTAACCCCTGGTGGGACTGCCTGGAAACTTAAAGCACCTGTCCCCACAGTTCTCAACCTACTATGTAATTCACACTTTACTTTTGAAATGAGTACCAAGCTCCTGGGAGGGATCACACATACTTCGTGTGCCTAGTGGTCAGTGCCTGTGCTCCAGTATGAAGGTGAAAGTGTTTGTGTTTCCCTTTCTTGGCCTCACATCTAAATGTTCTTAAACTCCAGAAAACTAGTGTCTTCTACCTAGGGTGTTCTTTTTCTGGGTCTTCTATCTGAACTTGACAAATCATGGAAGGCAGCTAGTTAGTTAATATCCCCTAATTGACTAGCCCCAGATGGACTTGCTCTGATAATTCAGGCAAGGAATTCACAAAGAAATAACCACATGAATTATTTTTTGTTGTTCTCCCCTCATAGGCAGTCCTCCTGGGAAAAGCCATATTTGGACCAGTGCCTCTCCTTGCTCTTGGAGCATCTATTTCTTGAGAATTGTTTAACCTTTTCTCATTTTTAAAAATAATTATAGACTTAACAATAATTATTAAGTACAAAATAGTATAAAAATTCCTGAAAAGCCTTTCCCCAGCTTCCCCTTGTGGCATGTTACATTGCGGTTGCACATCTGAAGCAGGAAATGGACCTTAGTGTTCCTGTTGACTAGACTACAAAACTTTTTACTTTTGCCATTTTTTTAGCCTCCTTCCTGTATGTGCAGATGTATTGTAAGTAGATTTATGTAGCCATCACATCAACCCAATCAGATAGAGTTAACTGTTTCATCATTACTAAAGAGCTGGCCCATGCTGACTGACTTTGTATTTGCACCCACCTTCCATACTTCCAACTCTTAGCACCCCATTTTCATCCCTGTTGCTTGGAAACCAGAAATCTGTTCTCCATCTATAGTCTTGTCATATCCAGAAGGTTATGTAAATGGAATCATTTAGTATGTGACCTTTTTTGCTAAGCAAATGCTCTAAAGTCCTTTCAGATGTGGCATGTGTCTCTAGCTTGGTCCTCTTCATTGTAGAGAAATAAATGATTTTCCTGTCTGAAGCTGTGCAAGAGTGAGCTCAGCCATTCATTTCCTCATTAAAAGGCTCTTGCCTTTTTTTCTTGCTCATCCTCATTAGTTTTTTACTATTATGAGTAAGGGTAATAATGAGTATTCATGTATTAATGTTTGTATGAGAACAATTTTCATTTCGCTTCCTCAAGGATTTTATAAATGTCTAGATGGTAACCTTGCCTTATTAGTTTTACAAACTAAAAAAAAAAATTGATGTGAATTTAATAATAAATGATGGTGCTCCTAAAATTCTTATTTGAGTAAGACCTTTCTTTATAAGAGAATAGTCAAGAATGAATTACATAGAGTTTAATGTTTTTCCTCTTTTTTTTTTTTTAAAGACTCCCCAGACAACAAGGAAAAGAAAACATTTAGCCTTGAGGAAAAGTCCAAATTCTCCAAAAACCGGGTTCATTATATGAAATTCACAAAAGGTAAAAGCAAGCATTTCTTTTTTTGCTGTTGAAATCTGTGTGTGCATACTGAGTTAGCTGAATGACTTTTAGTTCTTTGCGGCAGTGACTTTGTGTATGCACTGAGCAAGGAAGTCTGGACAGCCTGCCAGCATTGATCTTGACATCTCCATAGTACTGCAAGTCGCCTGGCAATCTTGGTAAAATGCACACTCAAGTCAGTGGCACTGAGGAAGGGTCTGGGTGAGGTTTCAGGTGGGACGGGTCTGGTGGCAGAGCTGAGAATGGAAGTCAGCATGCTGGTTAGAGGAGAAAGGAATACTGTGGTTGGGTCAGACATGACTGTAATTTGTTGTTCAGCAGTTTTAGCTACATCTTCATATTTTTCAGAGCTGAATGAGACAGTTTAGGGAATTATGCTCTGAGTTGAAATCTCCAGTATGGTACATTGCACTCCCAAGTTGACCCTTGTAATATCCCACACAATTTATCCATCTATGAGTGTTCGTGTAGGCATCCCGTGATCATTGCCAAGGTAGTATTGGAAAACGTGTTTGAGAATTTGGGGGGTAAATTCTGTCTTACCCATCTCAGCCTCCCCAGGCCACTTTCCATCTTCCCAGTACATGTGGTCATTTGTCAATGCAGTTGTCCTCTGTAACCACTATGTGGCGGCCTTGTACTGGTGAGAGACCATCTAACTTGCATTAACTCCCTAGACGTTTTCCCAGAACAGCCACAAAGCCAGTTTATGACATACTATGCTTAAGGTATACTTAGTATGACGATGATTATGCTGTGCTATCTAGTCACCATTTGATTGTTCTTCTCCAGGAGACTGGATGTTGTTTCTACCTTTATATGCACAAAAAGCCTGTCTCTTTGCTGTAGTCTTGTTGGCATGACTGAGGATGCCTTAACTCCCAACACTAGCAGTGGGAGATGGCATTCCCACTACTGTGAACTGTTTGTGGTGTTTCCTGTTTGAGACCAGAACCCCAGTCAGTAGGACTTGGTTAAGTTTAAGTGAGAGGCATTCAGCAGGAGCTGAATAACTTCAGGGTTGTGTACAAGGAGAGATGTTTTGAGTGACTCCTCCATGTCATTCCTTCTGTTCTCTGGCATGCACTTCTTTGTAGTTAGACTATGTGCTTCTGCCCAGGGATTCTCTTCATCAGCAGATTGGGCGTGCAATCGGCTGTAGGACAGAAAATAGACTTTGTTGCCCTCCCTGCCCCCCAGTCTTTCGAGGAGAGGGTAATGACAATTCCTTAATTAGCCCTTTTTTTCAATAGTCCCTATAGAAAAAGTAGAGATACAGCAGACAGGTGTTACTGCAGAACACACGAACGGAGTTAAAAGTGACCTGCAGCTTTTAGATGCATAATAGGCATTCATGCTTCCCTCTCTTAGCAGAGTCTTCTAGTTGTCCTTTCTACCCGTCTCCATGCCTGATTTCATCTGAAGCATTTGCTGAAGCTAGGATAAACCTCACTAATCTGCTTTCATCTATTGGATGCCACAGGATCTGCTTTCTATTTTAGTTAAGCCACTCCCTTGCTTGGTGACCCTGTCAAACTGCTTGGTGCATGTGCCTTTGTTTTTCCTCTTACAGTGGGGTTTGCATATTGACGAGCCTTGTCTAGAGAGAAGGGAGGCATTGCTGTGCAGAGAGAAAAGCTCAACATACATTGTCACAGGTAGAAGAGGAGTTGAGTTGGGAAATGGAGGACATGCAGACTGGGAATGAGGACAAAGGCAGAGAGAAGGAAGCAAAATCCAGGTAGTAAAGGAAATACCATCCATTTTCACCATCCTCAGTGAAAGCTAATTTAAAAGCTCTTACAATTTCCTAAAAGGGCATTTCTTTTGAGTTGGTATTGTCACTGGAGGTGAATGGTAAGCTCTTAGGTTCCCCTAAGGGAGACTGTCTTGGGTTCAAGTAGGCTTGGATTCTGGCCATTGCACATTCTTGAACCATTTCTCTTCTTTCAGACTCAGTTTCCTCTTTTGTGAAACAAGGAAACATTTGTAAGTCACCATTTACAAGTGTAAACTGACTGTTTTATGACTTGTGAGAGATGACCCCTTTTATGGAACCTGGCTTTTCAGTATGGGGATGATAGAGCTTCGTTCTCATGATGATGGGTGATGCTCACATGGTTGACGTGGATGATTCACACCGTGCCTCCACCTGTGGTCAGGAAATGAGAACATGGGACGACGCTGTCCTATATGCCTTGCTGGACAGTGAAGATGAAAACCTTACAACAACTGGTGCTACTACAAAATTTGCTAATATTAAGTAATTATATCGTGTTAATTCTCATACACAACTATTACTTTCTGTAGCCTCAAGTTCATAATTCTAATTTGGAATAATGATTGAATTTGAAGTTACTCTCATCAACATTTGTTTAAAACCTAATTCCACCATGGCTTCATATTTGGTGAGGTCACATTCGCAGAAGGGAAAATCTCAGTATGCAAAATTTTTTTTTTTCTTTTTTTTAGTGATGCTGGGGATTGAACCCAGGGCCTCATGCTTGCTAGGCAAGTACTCTACCACTTGAGCCACACTCCCAGCTTCTTTTGCTTGAGTTATTTTTGAGATAGGCTCTTGTGGTTTTGCGTGGATCAGCCTAGACTACGGTCCTCCTACTTACACCTCCTGAACAGCTGGGGTATCAGGTGTGCACCACCATACGTACCTTCTGTTTGTCTCACTTTTTGCCCTGGCTGGCCTTGAATCACAATCCTCCCAGTTTCTGCCTCCTGAAGGAATTACAGGTGTGAGTCACTGTGCCCAGCTGCAGAACTATTTTTGAAGGTTTTTTAAAAAAAAAAAATCTATACAGTGAGAGGTTGTCAGAGTGTTGTACAATGGCTGGATGAAAAGTTCAACTTCATTGCAATAATTTACACAGATCTCATATCTCTGTGACAGCCTGTGCTGTTTTATATGCATTTTAAACATGGAAGCCACCTACACAACACATGTTCCAGCTGGATGGCAGGTGCATAACAGAGCTAGCTCCTCTCATGGTCTACTCTGGTAGTAAGGAGCCTCATTCTTGCTTCTGCTTCTTTTGGCATTAAATATCAGATAGTGCCATTTGGGGCTTTTTAAAAATGCAGGCTATCTTCTCACTGGCTATTGGGGGTCTCAGCCATTCATCCTAACCCTGATTCTTACAGACTTTCTGGGTTTCTAACTTTCTCTTTTAGTGAAGTTGATTTGCTCTTCTGCCCTACTGTCAGTCCTGTGTATTACATGAAAAAAAATTTTAAATATAATGCTATTTTATTTATTCTTTTTGTTTTCCTTGTGATACTGGGGATTAAACCCAGGACTTTGCATGTGGTAGGCAAGCACTCTGCCACTGGGCTACATTCCCTAGCTTTTATTTATTTTTGATTAAAGTGTGCAAATGAACTTTTAAACAATTGATGCTATCTGCATAAACCTTAGTCCTTTTTTCTAACAAACCTATATTTCTCTGTCCTTGCCCCTTTTTTACTCTGGATAGATAAACTCTACTTTTCTGCACACTTTGAGCCTCGGTTATAATACAGTGCTTTGATTCAATTTATCAGATTTCTGATTTATTGCTTTTGCTGTTAAACTCAGTGTTTGCACATCATAGAGATTCCTCAGTTTTTATGTCCATCTGTTAGTCCACTTGCTTCCTGTGTGGACACATTGGCATGGTACATGTGTCTGTCTATACCAGTACTGCTCTTCCTTCCATTTGCCATTCTGATCTTTGGAAGACCTGGTAACCATGAAAATTAGCAAGTAGTTTTGGTGATCCTAAATACAGTGTTTTTCTGTGAAACTGTCCACTCAGCCTTGTGTGGACTTTGTTACATCAGTTTGGCTACTAAAGAAGAGCCTTTCTTCCCAAGTCTCAAAAAGCTATAGCCGGTTGAAGACTAATCTATAAGATGAACCAAAGCTAGATAAATAACCTATTTTCTATTATATTCAGTTTTTAAAATTGTTTTCTCAAAGATCTAAATTTATTAACAGTATTAAATATGATTTCACCATTGTTCAGAACTGAGACTCATAAACTTTCAAAGTTATTTACTATCTAGAGAGGCCATAATTTTATAATGTTTATAAACCATTAATAATGCTCTCAAAGTTGTTTCCATCTTCCTTTCACATTTTTATCCACCTTTAAGCTCCTTTCTGGTGGTCTTTGACTCTTATTTCTTCTCTGTGTTCTTGTTTTCCAGACCAGATCCAGAGCAAGGCCTGTAACAATCCTGGTTTCTACATTTACTTAAGTGAACTTTACTAGAGGATAGAAATTTCTGATACAAGAACTCACCACCAAAACTTTAGAAACCCTTGCACTTCCATTGGTATAGCTTACTGTTTCTACTGGCTTGTCAGTTTTCCCTTTGCGTTTCAGATTTGCTATTAATCTAGACGGATACATATTTTGACATTGTATTTTATAATTGTGATCTCCCATGTGTCCTCCCCTCCCTGATCCCTTCAGCTTTTCCTTCAGTTGAAGTGCTGTAAAAGAGATCTTAATTTTCACTTCCTTTTAGGGTATCTCTTCTGTTCCAGGGATAGGTTAGAATGAATATCTGATCCCTTTTCTGAAGTAGTAACTGTCACTCTGAATGTGCTTGCAGTAGAAAATGGGTTGTGCTGGTGACAGCTGAGGATAGATCTCAGCACCTGCAGAGAGTTTGTCCACCTCTAGCCACCTGACCAATTGCCTTTCCTGATTTCTGTGCTCCTATTTGTGTTATGCTTAATTCTCTTCTTTAAGTAGGTTTTCCTTGGGTTCTTTTTGTAAAGGCTCTACTTAATTGTCAGTTAGAATGGGGGTGGGAGGCTAGAGTCTGTTTCTGGCTCAGTTAGGAGAGGAGAGAGCAGCAGACAGAGCCACAGCAAAGCCTTCCCTCTGACAGGAGCAAGTTGGACCAACTGTACCATCTAATCTGGTACTGCTGCCTTCTGGGGCCTGCTTTTGTGTGAAGTTAAAGGGTGGTTTGTTTTTTAATTTCATGGAGTCACTGAGCAATATATATCTGAATGCCCCAGTGATTGTCAGTGAACCAGAACCTTCTGGGTCATGACATTACTTTGCCAAGTCAGTTTGCTACAGGAAACCAAGAAGACGCATAAGTCGGTGACAGTGGAACTTGGCTTCCTTCTTGAAACCCAGATCCCTGTGTCTGACCCAGACCGCCCTCCCCCAGAGCTGCAGACTTCATTCACATGGACTGGTTACGTTTTAAAACACACTCACCAAGAAGTTGACAAATGGGAATGGATTTGGCTGGCTGCTCACAGAGTATTACTGAGTAGAAGTAGAAATTCCAAAGAAGTGAATTTTAAATTAGTTGGTTTGTGGCTTTGAAATTAAGTTAGAGTTTAGTTTTTTTAAAAGAATTATAGATCGTTTGGACACTTTTTTTTTGTTTTGTTTTACCAGAACAATTTGATTTCCTGTTCTTATGTCGCCTTTTATTTAAAGATGAAACAGCTGTTACAGTTAAGAACATTTAAAAAAGGAAAGTTTGAATTTATATTTGAACTCATTCTTTTAAATTTTCACTTGCTCAGTCAATAATTATTGAGATTCTTTGTGTCAGTAATTGTTAAATGAACGAATGAATGGACATTTAAAAGGTCTAACAGTGTTTTCAATTCCACATTTCATAATCCTAAGTGAGTAGTAGTGTCTCTTCGAAGTGAATGAGATTTTGCAAATGCAGAGCCCAGAGGCCCAGAAATTGCGTCTCGAAGGCATACCAGTAGTAGGACCAGCTTTAAAATTTAGTCTTCCTCACAGTCTGTGGGCTCTAAGTTGTTTCTGCAATTAAGAAAAGAATGTCAACAGTTCTAGTTCTAAGACATTTACTTGGTTTTTAAATTTAATTCATTTTATTAATCAAATAGTTATAATCTGTGTTACAAAACTGTTTCTTTTCCACATGCCATCTTCCTGTCGGGAGTTGGATATTTACATTTGCATTCCTTAATTTTGGACAAATGGTTTTATTGACAAGCATCATGTTGGTTTTCTAGGGAAAGATCTGTCATCTCGGAGCAAAACGGACCTCGACTGCATTTTTGGGAAAAGGCAGAGCAAGAAGACCGCTAAGGTATCTGGGCACATGCATTCAGGTGTTCTGTTTTCATGCTATTTGGTTTTTGAGAATGTAGGATTATTTATGTCTATTACTAATGGAACTTCTCAAAGTTATCCCCCAGTAATCATTACTTCCACTTTGAGAGACTTTATACAAAAGCTAAATGTGATCCTCTTGATAATAGTAGCTGTGTTTTGTAAGGGATCTTTTTATTTCTTTTTGGAGTTACTGGGGTTTGAACTTGGGGCTTCACACTTGACTAGGAAGGCACTCTACCACTTGAGCCATGCCTCCAACTCTTTTTGCCCAGGCTGGCCTGGACTGCAAAACTTCTATTTTAAGCTTCTTGCCATTGCTGGGATGACAGGAGCACACCACCACACGCAGCTGTTGGTTGAGATGGGATCGTGCTATCCTCCCGAGCTCAGCCTCCCAAGTAGCTAGGATTATAGGCATTAGCCTCTAGAGTACAGTTAAAAGGAACCTAAAAAGAATGCACAATGTCTGTTTGTTTTATCTGGCAAGAGGACTAGAATAAACTGGGGAAGAATGCCTATTGCTGACATACTCAAAGGGAAAACGTGTCCTGTCGCTAAGGAGGGGAGGTCACATGCAGAGATTTTAAGTTGTTTGCTTTGCTCAGACTGCATTACTTGTTTGGGATGTGACTTGGGGAGGAAAGATATCCTACATATACTCTAGTTTTGTCTGGTCCATTTTAAGAACCTTTAGATGGTACTAGAGCAACATCCTCAGGGAGGGAGCTCCATGGAGGTTGTCTCCGCTGTAACTGTTTGTTTCAGGACTGAAAGGTAAAAGTCCATCTACTCCCTAGATGTGGCGAACCCATAGTTCATCTTCCTAATCATTAAATTCGGCTGTATAATGCATAGAAGTTTTGCACCATTTCTGACTGTAAGAGACAGTCTTGTATGCAGTTTTGATGTCAAAATATTAGAAGTTTTAAACTCTGGATTTCTGAAGACAGTGGAATGAGATAATTAAAATTAGTATTGGGTAAGAATATTTGGGATATGTGGTTGCTACATTTATCACTCAGCTAAATCTGGTGTGTTGTACTGATGCTCCTTTATTGGTTCCTAGCTAAGGCCCTTGGTGACTGTAGGATAAAAAAGACAACTTTCATTTATCTCTGGGTTTTTTTCAGACTGGCAGGAGCCTTTTGTACCAAGTGGTAGGTATTTATTACTTACTATGTGTAAAGACTCTAGTAGAATTATCAACCATGAGAGGTTTAGTTGAAAGATTTCCTTGCTGGTTGGGGCTGGATTCCAGGTCCTCCAGCACTGCCCTCTGCCCTGTCCTTCAGCAGAGAAAGGACAGGAGAAGCTCCCACAGTGTAGCCTGCTGAGACTGGTGGCTGCACCGTTTGTGCTGAGTTGTACGGAAGGCAGCCTGTCCTCAGCAGGGAGGTGTTGAGACATGGGTGTTCTTCACATGAAGCGCTGGAAAAAGCCATAGTCATCAGGCCAGCTCTGTCACACTTCTGCCCCTCTGTGGTTGTCTTGTAACCTGGGCTGGGCCAATCTCCCTTGTTCACCAAGTTCTTCACACCTGGCTCATCCCAACCTTCTCCTCCAAGGCTCTCCTTTGACTGTTTTCAGTGGTGTCCTTGATCTCAGGGAGAACCCAGCTTTCTGGGCCCTTCCCTTTGTGCTCTCACCTTTCTGCCCTAGCAGTCCTCTGTGGTTACCTGCACCTTTGTAGTAGCCCAGCATTCCTCCCTGCCTCTTCCAGCTCTCGCTATTGTACATTCCCAGTGTGCTGGCTCTTCCAGTTCCTTGCTTCTCCCATGACTAGCTCCTTTTGCTGCACACTGGGCCCTGCCTCCCGAGCCCGTGTCAGTGTGAGCTGCTGTTGGGTGGTGTCATCACTTACAGAAATGTTCAAGTGAGAAGCTCGCCTGTGTCTGAGGTGCTTTAACAATTCCATTGTGCTAGCCCATTGAAAATATTTAGTGATGCGGCTTCTAAAGATAAGGTCACATTTGGCTGTGCTTTGTCAAAAATTCCAGGCACACACAAGTTGGTGTCTGGATTAGTGCTTCCTTTTGATGGCGTGGAGACCCTGCTATTGGCCAGGAGGCCTTCAATCAGATGCTGCTTCTTCTTTGTGGAATTCTCATTGCAAGCTTTAAGCAAATGTCAGTGCCAGGGGCTCACCTAGTCAAGTTAAATCTTGAGTCTTGGGCCAGGTATCAGTATTTTAAGAAGAATGAGAAAATTGTTTAAAGACTTTTTTTTTTTTTTTTTGTAAAAGCCTCCCAGCTGATTTGGTAAGGATGCCAGTGTGTGATGAGGGGGGAGGTTTAAGAATGTCAGGCAAAGCCCAACAGCTATGCTGGGATAGCTGCTCCACTGTCCCCAAGCAAGGCTGAGAACTGGTCTTCTAAAACCTTCCCATTAGTTACTCTGGGAGTTTCTGAGCTGCAGATTCCGGCCTGTGTAGTTTTGAGAGCCTGTGTTTCTGAGCAACTCCAGTACTACTGGTCTGCACCCCACACAGGTGGGTGTGTCCTACATGTATGCAGAAAACAGATTCTGTTTAATTCTACATGCAAGACCACAAATCAAAAGCTCTCTAAAGCAGTTACTCTATCTTTGATGTGCATATGGGTTTTCATGGAGGTTTGCTTTTGTATCTTAAGTTTCGAGGACATCTGTACCTTCCCTGAATAAAATGTTGCTAAGAAACCTTATTGTGTTATTTACAACTGCCTGTATAGCCAAGGGCAAGAGGCCCTTGATCAGATTTGTTTGAAAATACTTCTTTTGGTTCCTCCTCTCAGTTGGAAGGAATACTGCTGTTTTTCCTTTCTTGACCCCCATAGCAACATTGGCTTAGACTTGTGTTTGGCAATGCCAAACATTGTATCTAATAAATTCATTGTATCTAATAAGGAAATTGATATGCTATATTCATATGTGACCTCTTCCACATTCCTGAACACTGAACAACTTAAAGAAAGAGACGACTTGTGTTCCCAATTTTGGGTTCCTGCCATGTTCTTGATTCAACGTGTGGCACTTGCAGCAGTTCAGTAAATCAAAACCTATTGTACTGCTCTTTTTTGAAAATGCACTAAATTGTTGTGCATTTTAAAAAAAATCATCATTTGTATAATGTCAGAGTTGATATTTGAAATACCTTTCCCTTTTCAAATGTTTTGATCAGTAAATATCTCTTTTTATTTTGTTTTTTAAAAGTCCAGTTTGTTAGAAGTCTTTCCCACATCACGGCTCAGGCTGGAACGGTTTTCTGTAGCTGTAACTATTTCCTATTTCTGTAGAAGTTAAAGCATTTGTGTCACTTCCGGGACTGCTCCAATTACTTGTGCTTCCACTTTTTCCAGCCACAGGGCTGCTAGGAGGCTGGTTCCTAGCTGAGTTGGGCTGTTCAGAAGTACTTGCATAAAGAAGGAAGGATCGCTGCAAACCTGTAGATACTCAAAACTTTTAACAGACTAATGTGGGAATGTCTGGCTATAATATCTCATTTCCATCTTTCCTTTCCCACCATCTTTGTGCTACGTGAACTGGAAGGCAGGACTCTGGAGTGGTGTGTCTCTAAATTGGAGCTGTGTGAACCTTCTTACAAAGAAACGCTCCAAAACATTGAATTGAAATGACTTGGGCCTCTTGAGGTCTACAGCAGGTACTTTTCCTGGCCAGGGCCTGCCAGGAATTGTATGTATATAGGAGGTGTGTGTGTGTGTGTGTGTGTGTGTGTGTGTGTGTGTGTGTGTGTGTGTGTTCTCACTTGGTTTGCAGGTTGAAGTTGGAGACACTGAAAAACAAATTCCATTAGTTCCAATCTGGTTGAACTTCCTGATATTCCTGTTTTTTTTTCCTCACTCATTTTTTTCCCTCCTCCACCTTCCCAGTTTCCTTCCTCTATCCAGTTTGTTTCCTGATTTGGCCTTATCACTAGAGAAAATACTTCTAAACCATATCAAGGATGGAGAATGTGTTAACCAATAATCTCACTGTGTCTCTCTAAATAACAGGCCTGTGGCATAGGCTCTGGGTAAAGAATTGTCAATTTCTTCACCTCTCTGACCTGACTGAATTAGAGTGTTTCTTATGCTATCCCAGGATACCCAGTTAATGACTTCTTACACTTCTCCCATTGACTTTTGCTTTTTTAATCAAAGTGTGACATCTTTTTAGTCTGTGTTCCTTTCTCCTCTATTATACAAATTCTCTTTCTGTTCTATTTCTTGCTGATTATTCAGTCTTAAAACTACACCCAAGTAGACCTTTCTCTTTTGTTTGAATAGATTGTATTGTAGACCATTCTTTCTTCTGTTTGGATTCAGTGCCTTAAATATCTCATAGAGAAAATCATTGGAAAAAGAAGAGACCTTTTTTTCAAAATTTAAATTTTTACTTGAAATATCTTTGGATGAAAGGGTGTTATTTCTTTGTTCTGGATTTTCATGCTAACAACCTATATTGATGAACTAGAGTGAATTTCAGAAACGGTTTACAGGAGGTGTCCCCCTCTTCCTACAGCCTCTGTCCTGGCCACCCTGTTCTGCTGCTGAGCTGGGCACCAGCATTCATTCCAACAGTGATTGACTTTCCCAGCACTAAAAAAGATTACTAAAAAGATTACTAAAAAGTAATCTTCCAATGCGGAACCTTTTAGAAATACATTTAACCAGAGCCAGCAATACAAACACCACATGATACACCTGTTCTAAAATTTATTGTTTTCCAGCAGTGATGACTTTAAAATTCTTGTTTACCAGAATCATCAAACAGAGTTAAGATTCAAAATAGTCTCTCTTAAGTTGGGACTTTTGTCCAAAACTTCTGGACCTCTTTCAGGAGAAATTTTGTAAAGACGTATGAAGTCTCATTTTAATCCTGGAAAGATCTGAAGTGGCAGCAGTTAAATGAAAATTAAGTTAGAGGGTAGGACATGTAACCTGACCACAAGTTTAACCTAAGCCAAAATATGTAGCATGTACCTGCCTGACTGCAGGC